TACTACAACTCACTCATACACTCATGCACACCAAACCCTCTTTTCTCCTAACTTTGTGCTTCATCCCTTTGTTCTTCTTCAATATTATTATCTACTAATTTATATTTAATTATCTCTTAATCACCATTATTATTGTTGTCATCATCTCTTCTTTCTCTTTCTTTTTCTGCATTATATTCTATAATTATTTCATTCTTCAATATTTTGTATTATTTTTATGAAAAATAAATATCATTTAAATATCTTTTTTCTCTCTTTTATTTTCTATTTTTATACTATGAAGTGGAAAAAAAGTAAAGAATTTTGAATTTTTAGGCAATTGTTACTTGTCTTATCACTTTTTTTATTATTTATGTTGTTCAATTGGGTTTAAATAGATATATATGAAATATCCATATTTTACTATTAGGATATGCTTGCTTTTCAATTTTCATTGGGAATTCCTTTGATATTTACAATGATTAATAGTTCTAAATTTTTTTTTATGAAACCAATAGTTCTAAGTTGCTTGTTGTAGCTAACAATTCAAAATGGAAATAAATTGATCAAACACGTATAATGTTTGGACAAGAAAATGTTCCTTTTACTTATAATTCAAATATGAACTACTAAATATTTGGAGATCAAATTTATTTGCTCTTAAGTTTATATATTAGGATAGTATGATAGCTAAAAATGGAAAAAAAAAAATCATTTGAATTAATAAATTTTAAAAAATATGACTCACTTATTAATTTGATGTATAAAACAATTATTTACATTAAATTTAATTAAAAATTTTCTAACATTAGTTTATAAAACTATAGGGCATTTTACCCATTAGATATTATGATCTTATTGAAACTATAACATTAATTATAACACAATAACTTTGCTTATAATACATATTATATTGATTAGAATATTCTATTTATAAAGTATTTATAATTGAATAGTTTTTGGAAAACAAATCTACATATTGCTTATAATACTATTTGTAATTAGAAAACTATAATTATAATATTATTACTCTTATTAATTATAATATTGTTAGGTATAGTACAAGATTCAATTATAATACTATTATACATGTTAGGTATTATAATACTATGTTTAGTTAATATATACTAATTATAATTATAAAAGTTATAGTTATATTATTATTATAATGTTAAGTAGCTATAATTAGAATAAAAGTACGTAGTTAAAACTCTACATAATAAAGGCTGAATCAAAATCTATTAGGTATTTTCTCAAAAAAAAAAAAAAAATTATTAGGGTAAAACGACACCATTTTGTAATTTTTCATCATTTTATAAGATAAAATTTTATAAATCTTATATTTATAAATTAAAATAAGCTTGTAGCTAGTATTCTTCTTATAAATCTTAAAAAAATATATAATTATCATAATAATCATGTTTTGCTAAAATAAAAAATAATGAAAAAAAGAAGTGGCGTGAGCTCTTGGGAATCTATTTATGTATAACGAAATGAACGTATGAATGGTGAATTTCAACCTTATGGTATTTAGTTGGTTTGGGTAAAACGTAGAAGTAAGAAAGAACAAAGAGGAAATTGAAATTATACATTTTCAGCTTGACTTGCTAACAATTTAGGCTTTAACTTAGAGCTTGTCATAGTTTGGTGAGCTGAGCTAATAAGTAAGCTATCAAACAAGTTGCACGCATGCATATATTCATTAATTTTCTTTTTTCGGTCTATAATCATCGGCATTTCAAAATCTATTGTGTTATACAACGTACAATTCGAGTATTATAGGGTCCGTATAATGAACAATTCTTTTAGTGTGGCAATTTTCATATTCGAAATTCGAACCCGAGGCTTGTATTTAATTGAGAAGGAGTTCCAACCACACCATTTCAACTAGGGCTGTAAATAAGCTGAGCCGAACCGAGTTTTGGTGAGCTCAAGCTTGACTAGATAAGAATATACTCGATCTCGAAAATATGAGCTTGAGCTCCGTTTATCTAAAAAATAGATAAGCTCTGAGGCTCGACTTGATAACCATAAACGAGCCGAGCTCGAGCTCGAGCTCGAAATCTATCAAACCGAAATATCATTGTTTTAATATAGATTTAATTGATTTTATTTTATTGAGCTAGCTCGTGAGCTTGACTCGATTCGATAAAGCTGGCTCGTGAGCTAATGTGCTGAGCTCAATCTCGACTTGTTTATTAAACGAGTTCAATAAACTTATTGAACGAATTTGAGCGAATTTTTATCAAGCCGAATCTCGAGTAGCGTACTAGTGATTTGTGTCATTTTTAGTCCCAATCCCAACCAATGTTGATTCATTAATTTCTTTAATGGATCATTCAAACAAGTTTCCTTTCTTACCATTTTATTTTTAAAATTTTGAATTAAAAAGAAATGGTCTCCAGCAATGACTCAAGATAATTAGAAAAATAAATGAAAAATAACTACTCATAAAATTAGATATATTTTCCTTTAAGAAAAGTCTTTGTCATTACTTCCCTTTTCTTTTCATGCTTTTTTCTTGACAAATCACATTATCTATTATATGCAATGAAGGTAATTTCACTATCTCATCTACTAAAGAGGTGTTAAATACATTATACCTTTAAATAAATGACCAAGCAAAATATATATATATAGTGGTTAATATTGTCATCTAAATTCAAGAAAATGATTAATAGAGAAAGGCCACCAATTATATTATATTGTTTCCAAGCTATAATTACTCATTATTCTACTTATACACTGAAGCTTAATAATTTAATTTAGTTATATATTGCTCAATTTATAAATTACACGTTCAACTTTGTAACTTTAGTTTCGTGTCACTCTGAACTTTGCAGATAACTTAATATGTAGTTGAATTTATAAATTTTGATAATATTGTATATTTTTTCATACAAACATTATTAATAATTTTTAGGACTTTTACTTTTGTACATAAACTATCGATTTGATATGCAGTTAACATAACTTTTAAAATAATAATTTTCACAATTTTTAACTATTTAATAAATGTTTGATTGCTCTAATTTTAGAAGTTAAAATATTCAGTAAAAAATTTTAAATGTTTAATAAGTATAATTTTATAAGTTCAAATATTAGATGGGTCAAAGTAAAAATTGAAGGTATCACAAAATTATATTAATGAAATTTATGGGTAAAATTATGTATTAAATTAATCCATTATATAATATAGGAGAGACTTTCCAAAAAAGAAAAGAAAAGAAAAGAAAAGAAAAAAAAAAAGAAACAACTTAGGAGACATGTGATCAATCAATGAATCAAATGGCTATTCCATTCACTTAATTAATAATTGTAAGTCAACATTTGTAAATCTCACCAACTCCTGAGGTATCAATATCCAACTTTATGTCCCAACTATGCTTATGAAAATAGAATAGAAATAAGAGCAACTAACAATCTTATACAAATACAATTTTAACTCAAAAACATCCCTTCTTGGTTTGAAAGTTACTTGCAACCCATATTCAAATTTACTCCTCCAAGTATATTTTCCTGATTAGTTTAGATAATTCCTACTGAAAATATCTAACTTTCAAGTTCAAAATATGGATTTATACAGACACATATGGTTTTCATTTTCAATATGACTTTCAAATGATTTCATTTTTTATAAAAATACCTTATGATATCAACCTACCCTTATATTTTAAAAAATAAAAATAGCATTAAAAAGTTATTGAACAACAGGAAACGGGTGACATATTTTGTTCCAAAAAGTATTTAATGACAAGTGAGAAGTAGATATGTCTCATAAATAAGTGCAAACAAATTAGCAAATGTTGCCTTTCAAAGAAAAACAAGTTTGAAGAATTCATGTAAGTAATTTTTTCATACAGGTGATATTCTCTTTGCTGCAACAGGTCCATAAGAAAGAAGTGCTCTTAAGGATTTTTTCTCCATTTACATCGATCGAACAATGCGACCTCTTGTTTAAAAATTTTGATTCTTTTTCGGTTTTCACTCAAATCAACGCGTTGGTTAATATTACATATGTATTCTACTTTGCACTTTTAAATTACTAATGGGAGGTAGGAAACTTTCAGATATGCTTTCTTTTTGTAATTTAATAATAATAATAATAATAATAATAATGCAAAATAAAATACGGACCATTAGATTACCCGTTAAAGGGTATGACAACTACCTAGCCCTCTGCTTTTCCACCACAAATCTAATAAATTTTGGTAGGCATGTCCTTGCAGCTCTCAAAGTGTTAGCATTGTATGTCACCTAATGGTCATAATACCTACAACAAGAACGGTGTGAACAGATTCTACAAGTGCAAGTCAAACAAAACTAACAAGTGGGTGCCTATATATATATTTCTCAAAAAAGGTTTGAAATTAGATTAGGAAAAATTAATTTTTAAAGTATAACCATGTCTGCATTAAAAAATGAGAGTCTAATCTAACTTTAACAAATCCTTTTACCTTCCAAAGTTTTCTGACATAGAGTTTAAGAATAACATAGGTGAATCTGGTAATCGAAAAATGAATCGTTTTGGGTTATGCTCTTGACAAACCTTTCTTTTGCTTGTAATGTTAACCACATTACAAGCAATTTTCTATACGCATATATCTATTTAAAAATGGAAGCTAAACTTCAAATATTTAAATATAATATTTCCATCCATGAAGCTTTCAATTAATCATGTAAAAATGCATACAATAAACTATTGAAATAAACATTATGCTAATAATAATAATATTATCAGCAAAATTACAGGTGAAATGACATAATCTAAAAGTAGAAAAATTATGAAAGAACACCTAAAAATATTGAATAGGAGTTAGGCTAGCATCAAACCACACAAGTTAGTAGAAATGGGGGGAAAAATCAAAAATAGAAAATAGAAAAAACATAATAAAAATTTAGTTCATTTAGACATTTTTCTGTCACAAAACAATTTGACAAGTAAACAGAAAAAATGAAATATATGGCTAAAGTTTTGTTGATATATATATATATATATATATTGTTTTTTCTTCTGTCCCTTTCCTTTCAAGGGTCCCCCAAATTCTATAATAATTAATAATAACAACATACAAGGAATTGATTGCCCAAAGGTATTCACATGTTTACACGTAACACCCAGAACCATTTTTAATTAAAATATTTACCCCAACATATTCATTCATTGTTGAATTCAAAATTCCCACTAAAAATTTAAAAAAAAAATTCCAAAAATAAAAGAGATTAAAAATTAAAATAAATTGCCCTTTCTTTGTGCAAATAACAACACTTCCGGGGGTTTTGTTTTCTTTTTGGAATTTTGTTTTTTATTGGTGGGTTTGCTAATCTCCCCTTGATGGACACCATGGGGTCATGTCCATTGGATAGCTACCCAACACCCTCAAGAAAGATGTGAACTCCTGCACCTCCGCTAAAGCGTTCTGCGCCCTAACTTCCGCCATGGACGCCTCGAAATCAACGTAAAACATGTACTCGAAATGCTTCGCCGTTCCCACATTTGCGTCATCCACCAACCTAATCGGGCGGTTCCGGTGCGGCCGTGACTCGATCTTCGTTAAGCTAATGTTACGGAAAGCAAACGCCGATAGCACCTTGAAAAGCACGCTTGTTCCCTTATCGTGTGCAAACACGATACTCGTCTTGAATGGCCGATCCGTGCGCGGGATTATTGGCTCACGCGCCAACATAACAAACCGTGTAACGTTGCTTGAGTCGTCCTGGATTCCGTCTGCCAGTATCTGTAGTCCATACAGTTCCGCCGCGCGTGCGCTAGCTATGGCCGCTGTGTCACGGAGGTTGTTAGCGGCTATATACTCAGCTGCGCCAGCTGTGTCGTCTACTGCCTCTCGCGCCGCGTGGAGTCCGAGTTTGGTGAGCGTGTGCTCGCATTGTGCGAGTGCTTGAGGATGAGAGATTACTCGAGTAATGTACTCCTTTCGAACGCCGGGAAGGGCAAGAAGACAGTGGTGGACTGGTAATTGAACTTCACCGACGATGTGGAGGCGGTGACGAAGAAGCAAATCGTAGTTTCTATGAATAGATCCGCCTAGAGAATTCTCAACTGGTAAAACTGCTCGATCTGCAATCCATAACTCCACCGCCTGAAAAGCCACCTCGAATTGGTCGCAAGGGATGGCTTCACAGTTAGGATAAGCTTTGCCAGCAGCAGCTTCTGAGTACGCGCCAGGAACTCCCTGATAAGCCACGCGGAGCTGAGAACCATGCATAGGAGCCGGTGAGAGATCAGTAATCGTTAAAGGCTTCATCGGCTTATTATTTGAATCGCCATCAGCTTTTCCTTTGTTGAGAGGGACTAGATTTAAGTCGATAGAAGTCTTATGGCCGTTGACGGCAGCGACATGGTCTGCTCCACCGGCGTTATCTCCTCCGGATTTATCAGTTGGTTGCTCTTGAGCAACGACTTTACTGGCTAAAATAGCGCAAGAACTCTGCCAGTCAGATCGGCTTGCACCGACGCCGTTGGGGAAGTTAACCGAGTCCGGCCTATAGATGGAATGGACGACGAGTTTGTTGGGATTAACTTGGGCGAGTCGGCGGCGAGTCGGTATTAATGACTTGAGAGGGGAGGGAGGTGAAATCGCCTGCATCCTTAATTTTTTTTTTCTTTTTCTGATTTAATCTATTAAAAGAAAGAAGAAAAAAAAAGGAAATATGTTGAAGGGAAAGAAAGAGATGGATTTCAGCTTGGTGTTCTCTATAGAAGGGAACGACAAGCTGAGGAAAGAAAGGTGGGAGTTAAGGGGGTTTTATATGAAGGGAGTGGACAAGTCTTTGGAGGAAGGTGGTTCGGTCAATCTCACACCTACCCCCGCACCCCCTCTCTTCTCTCTCACACAACCATATGTATTATTTAATTTATTGTTATATTTATATGTTTTTTTTATTTGATTGGCTAATTCCAATCCATATTATTTAGAAATGTTATTTACTATTTAGTATTAAATTGAACTGCGGTTGATGAGGAAGAAGGATTCAAATTTTTACCAATTGCAGTAATCTCATTCTGTTTGAATTTGGCATTTCATATTAAGTGTTTTTTTAGAGAATTTTACTAAGATTAAAGAAATTATATGAAATCACTTAGAAAATTTCACCAGTATTAAGTAAATCATATGACATCATTAATATGGTTGATAGTTTAAAATATTCTTTTGAAAAAAGCTAAAAAATTAATTACAATGACTCATGACAACAAGGACATATTTAGAAATAATTGTATAATGTTATTTTGATTTCATTGAAAAATACTTAAATTGGAAAAAAAAAAGAATTATTTGGTAAATGTACACTTAATATGGAATGGAAAGAGTATCAAACAACTTAAAATTAATAAACAATTAAAAATTTAAAAGCTCTCTTTTCTTTTTCCACATGCGGCCATCGATGAGCCTCACCGGTGGTCACCCCTTTCCCTTTTTATTTATTTTTTGCATATAATTCTCATATATGTATATTATCACCCAAATTCTAGTAAGACTTGCTAATATATTGTCAGATCTGTATATCTAGATATTGTCCTCAGATCATCCAATCCTGTCAACAAATTGTAGTAAGACTTGCCAATATCTTAGGATTGTGTTCTCATATTTAGTTCTGAGTTATTATTGTCACCATTATGCTAATTTTGTCTAACGTATTTTGTTATTTAGATAGTTATGCAAAAAGAAGTGTTGATCTCCTTTCTAATGGAAGGAAGAACTTTGAAAGTAATTAGATCGGATTTATGTAGAAAGACATAGGGAATCGAACAGTGGTTATGAATAGCCACTAAGTGGAGCAAACGATCGCCTATGACACAAATATTATACTGTATCAACTCGATTAAATATTTCAAATAAGATTGTTTTTTTTTTATTCTTTGTATAAGTGTTTTATTATTAGACTTCCTATATAAAAATATAGAAACATATTGATTTGTATTCCATATCTATTTACAGTTTGTATTACTCTTAATGAAATTTTTAGTTTGATTTCTTCTTAAAAAACAAACTATTTCTAAGTGTAATGTCAAATCGAACTATTTAAAAATGTATCAACTCGATTAGTAAGTATTTTCAAAATAAGGATTGTTTTTTTATGTCTTTGTATAAGTGTTTATTAGTATGTGACGGCCATAGTAATAAAAGAGAAGAAGTCAGTTATTATTGTATTCCATATCTGATTGTATCAGTGTATATTGATTTGTATTCCATATCTATTTACAGTTTGTATTACTCTTAATGAAATTTTTAGTTTGATTTCTTCTTAAAAAACAAACTATTTCTAAGTGTAATGTCAAATCGAACTATTTAAAAATATTGATTTGTATTCCATATCTATTTACAGTTTGTATTACTCTTAATGAAATTTTTAGTTTGATTTCTTCTTAAAAAACAAACTATTTCTAAGTGTAATGTCAAATCGAACTATTTAAAAATCTAATGTTTTCATGCTATTGAGAGAGAAAGAATGTTAAACTAAAACTATAAACTTAGTTGATTTAAATGCAATACTTAGGAGAAGAATAAATAATAATTTTTATTTTATTGAAATCACCAAATAAAGTGGTTATCCTAATTGAGGAAGGTACAAATTTATTTCTAATCATTGATCGTAATTTTAAAAGATAAGTATTTATCTTTCTTTCTAATAAATTTCTACATGTTATGATGAAAAAATTAAATCTTTCAAAATTAATTCTTAATACAATTTTAATTGATTATTTAAAAATTAAATATTGAGATTGTATTCATATTGCAAACGATGGATATATCATGTTTATATAAACATTGAAAGTTCCAACTTCATTTATCATTCTAATCTCATTAGTCAATCATGTGAAATGTTCATGGAGGATTTCATGTGTTAGGCATCAGCTTTGATACCAGTTTTTGGGCATCAGATTTGATACCACTCATTGGGCCTTTTCAACCAATTAAGAGAAAATTAACGCAGCGGAATAATAGAAATGAGACACATAGAAATTTACGTGGTTCACCCTCAACTGTTTAGGGCTTTTTACGGGTTCACCCTTCAACTGTTTTAGGGCTACGTCCCACGGGACAAACTCCGGAAATAATTCTATCCTAATTCTTCCACTATTAAAAAATAGTAGGTACACAAAGAGAGTAATACAAAAATAGTGGCACACAAAGTGTTTTCCAAAACACCCCAAAATAATTTTCTCACTATTTTTCTCTCCCCTGGTTTTAGGAAATCCTTCCTAAAACTAGATAACTCTCTCTTTACATTTTTTTTTTCTTCTTCTTCTACTGTGTGTTTTGTTGAGATGCATTTGTCTCTATTTATAGGCAGGTTACGAGAGAGCCGTGTATAACTCATTCACAGCTCTCCGTTTTGTCAAAAGAATTGCCTGCAATTCAAAGAACACGTTTTCCTTCTTTTTTTTTCCTTTTCAAACTGTGTGGGTCCCACTTGAGTGGGCACCGCCACAACAAATCTCCCCCTGCACACTCAAGTGGGGACGTTAGCCATCATCATTCCTGTAAGCCCATCGATCATTCCTGCCAGCTAACCGACAGTAATACCGACAGTATTCAAACTTCTCCTTTGAAAGAATCTTCGTCAACATAACTGATCAATTTTCTTCTGTATGGATCTTCTCAAGCTGTAACAGCTTCATCTCCAGTACATCCCTGATCTAACATCAATGTGTTTTGATCTTCAATGGAAGGAGGAATTCTTTCCAAGGTGAATTGTGCTTTCACTGTCACAAAATATCTGATATCGTTCTTGATGAATTCCAAGTTCATTCAAGAATTTCTTCATCCGTTCATTCAAGAATTTCTTCATCCACAGAAACTCCTTTCACGCTTCAGAAATCTTGATTGCCACAACACGGCTCCCCCTGCAAATGTGATTGGATATCTTGAAAATCCATTTCACTGCAGTCCAATGTTCCTTTCCAGTATTTGAAAGAAACTTACTCACTACTCCAACTGAGTGAACAATATCTGGCCGTGTACAAACCATGGCATACATCAAGCCAACTGCTGAAGCATAGGGAATCTTTTCCATTGCTTCCTTCTCTCTATCCGTCGAAGGACACTGTTTAGAACTCAATTTAAAGTGATTAGTAAGAGGACAACTAACCGCTTTAGCATTTTTCATTCTAAACATTTAAAGTACTTTCTCAATGTACTCCTATAACAGCCATAATTTCTTGGCTCTTCGATCTTCATGCTAAGAATTTGCTTTGCTGATCCCAAGTATTTCAAAGCAAAAGACTTACTTAGCTATTTCTTCAAGCTAGAATTCTGACCAACAATCAACATATCAACCACATAGAGCAAAAACAATGTAGCCATCATCAGAGAATGTAGCCATCATCAGAGAATAGAAACACATGATCTAAAGTAAGTCTTTCTGTAGCCATTGCCTTTCCCCCACAACAGACTCCAAACTTCTTGTACCACCTGGTCTCAGTGCTTTGCCTTCAAGCCGTACAGGCTCTTCTTTTTTAGTTTGCAAACATAATCCTCTTTTTCTTACAAAACCCTCTAGCTGCTCCAATGTATATGCTCCATGTATATTTCTTCTTCCAAATCTCCATTTAGGAAGGTAGTCTTTCCATCCATTTGCTCGATTTCCAGATCAAAATTGGCGGCCGTTCCGAGCACTATCCGAATGGATGCCATTTCACAACTAGTGAAAAGATCAAAATCAATACCTTTTCTTTGATTGAATCCTTTCACAACCAGTCTAGCTTTTAATCGTGGTTGGGAGCTGTGTTCTTCCTGCTTGATCCTGAACACCCACTTGTTCTTCAAAGCTTTCTTGCCTTTAGGCAACTTCAATAGCTCAAATGTTTCATCCTCATGCAAGGGACCTTCATTTCAATCTTGCATGGCTTTTTTCAATCCAGTTTCCTCTGTGTTCATTTTCCATAGATTCCTTCACAAGTTTTCAGGTTTCCCACCGTTTCAGTCGTTAGTACAACCTACTCCATTGACTGGATATCTAGTAGATGGTTTGTCCAGATTCTACTAGATCCTTCTTAATGTTTGAGAACCTTCCGGTGCTGGTGTTTGAACATGGGAAACCCATAATCTTCCATCTGGTTTCATTCTCATTAGGAAACTTCTGGATTTCTAAACTCCTGGCACGTGTTCTTGTTGGAACATTTTCTTCATTTCCAATTTTCTGCGTTCGTACTTGGAGGGACTTTACTATTATGATCCTGTTGATCTTCCATCAGATCTATTGGCACTCTGGCTTCAATATCTTCAATAGTTTTGAATCTTCAAAACAAATAACAACACTCACCGATTTCTTTATAATCGTCTTCTGGGATTGGGTCATAAGACCTATAGCCACAGTTTAGTTCTTGGCCATAGCTTAATGAAATACATGCAACTGTCTAGTCTTTCGACATCAAAGTTCGACTCCATTCAGTGCCCTTCGGGACATGTACGGAGTCTTATGCAAAACCAAACATTCTCGCAATGATCATAGGAAAACATCCTTTCCTAACCCAAATAACTCCTCTCGTGGAGTATGATACTGTAGAGGGAACAGAGTGAAACGGCGAACTGCTGTGAACTGCTGTGAGTAACGCTTCACCCCAAAATCTCTTAGATAACTTTGCATGTGAGAGTACACATCTGACTCTCTCCATCAAAGTTCTGTTCATCCTCTCAGCCAAATTGTTCAGTTGCGACGTCTTGGGAGGTGTCGTTTGATGTCGAATGCCATGCTCTTTGCAGAAAGCATCAAATGTCCCAGTGTATTCTCCACCATCATCTGTCATGATACACTTCAGCTTCTT